AATATACAAAATAAAACATAAAAACCACTAAGACCGCAAAGGCGTGAGTTGCGTGCAAAATAAAGCAGCCTCATTAGTGCTAATAAGAACAAAATCGAACAGAAGAACAAAGGATGCTTGAGAGACGGGGGAGGATGCGTGCTATGAGCAGGAGAGGAGGCTTCTATGTGTGTGTGTGTGTGAGTGTGAGTGTGTGTGCTGTGTGTGTGTGGTGTGTGTGTGTGTGTGTGTGTGAGTGCGTGTGTGTGATGTGTGTGTGTGTGCTGTGTGCTGTGTGTGGTGTGTAGTGTGTGTGGTGAGAGTGCTGTGTGTGTGTGTGTGTGTGTGTGTGTGCTGTGTGTGTGTGAAGTGTGTGTGTGTGTGTGTGTGTGAGTGTGAGTGTGTGAAAGTGTGTGTATGCATCAAAAAGCATCACAGGAGGCGGCACCACCAACCCCGCAATTAACAGAGAGCAAGAAACGGCCGAGGCATTTTCCGTTCCTGCGGGGCCGTCACTTCCAGCGCCGCCATAATTCCAACCGCAGACTCAGACCCCGACATTTTCGCCGCGTGAAAAATCCGGAAACAATTTCCCGCCAATTCTCATGGAGAGCGCGCTTATGCAGATGCGTTTGAGTTATCTGTGAAATGGTTTTGTTTGCTCTGGCCGCGCGCTTGTTGGGGAGAGAGAATGGGAATGTGGTTAAACGGCGAGCACGTATATATTCCTCTACATGCGTGGGTATGCTTGTATTATATTTTTTTTCCCTATGTAAGAGAAAATGGCATGAATGTGGAGACGTTCGTATATCAGTGACGTCATGGAGGTGTTCGTTCGTGTAAAAGTGACGTCATGGAGATGTTCGTTCGTGTAAAAGTGACGTCATGGAGTCGTTCGTGTAGCAGTGGCATAGTGGAGGCGTTTTTGTATGTAACATTTACGTCGTGGAGGCGTTCGTGTCTGCAATGACATCATGAAGGTAAAATCATATATGGAAACGCTCGTGTATTGGTGATTTCACTGAGGTGTTCGTGTAATAGTGACGTTTGAAGGCGCCCTTATATCAATGCAAAACAGACGAGTAGTCTTATTTTTAAAATACAAGGTATAACGAATTTGATCTTTTTTCCCATTAATGTAAGGCAGACAAATGTTAGTCTTTACAGGCGTTTTAATCTTTGTATGTTGTTTTAGAAAACCGTCTATTATAGATTTTTAAAAGAGAATACGAGGACCCATCTTGGTCGATAATAAACTAGAAATGCCAAAAAGTACTGAAAGAAGCTCATGAGCTTCGAGTTGGTGATTATGGTAATGATGATAAGGAGTAGCAGTTGCAATGCTACTGATGATAGACTTAATGTTAATACTATACTACTGATAAATACACATACACACACACACACACCGATACAACGAACACACACACGCACACAGACACACACACACTACACACAGCACAAACACGGCACACATACACCACACACACACAAAACACACAAACAGACAAATATCACACACCCACTCCCCCGCCCACCATCACCACCACCACCAACCCTCCACCCGCCCCCTCCCCTTTCCAAACCACCTCCCCCTCCTAACCTCCCCCCCACGCCACACTAACCACGACCCCCCCTTCCCCCGCAGCGCTGGATCGGTACGACTGCTGACGGGCCGCTTCATAGGGGGAGTACGACCCCCGATGGAGGCCGTCTACCCCACCCCCCTCCCTCCAACCACCTACCCCCCTACCCACCCTCCCACCCTACCCTCCCTCCCTCCCAACCACCTCCTCTCCCCCCCTCCCAACCACCTCCTCCCTCCCCCCCTCCCCCCCCTCCCCCTCCTCCCAACCTCCCTACCCTCCCCCTCCCCTCCCCGCCCAACTAACCACGGACCCCCCCTTCCCCGCAGCGCTTGATCGTACGACCTGCTGACGGCCGCTTCATAGGGGAGTACGACCCCCACGATGAGGCCGTCTACCCCCCCTCCCCCCTACCATCCGCTCGCCCTCCCACCCTCCCACCACCTCCCACCCCGCCCCTCCCTCCCCTCGCCAACCACCTCACTCCTCCCCTCCCTCGCCCACCTCCCCCTCCCCTCCCCCCACTCCCCTCCCACCACCCTCCCCTCCCCCCTCCACGCCCCTAACCATGACCCCCCCTTCCCCCCGCAGCCCTGATCGTACGACTGCTGACCGGGCCGCTACATAGGGGAGTACGACCCACGATGGAGGCCGTCTACCCACCTCCCCCCTCCCCCTCCCAACCACCTACCCCCCTCCCCTCCCCTCCCCACCTCCCCCTCCCCCACCCTCCCCCTCCCCCTCCCCCTCCCAACCACCCGCCTCCCCACCCTCCCCTACCCTCCTCCAACCCTCCTCCCCCTCCCCCCCAACCTCCCCTCCCCCTCCCCCTCCCCACGCCACACTAAACCACGACCCCCCTTCCCCCCGCAGCGCTGATCGTCCGACTGCTGACCGCCGCTACATAGGGGAATACGACCCGACGATGGAGGCCGTGTACAGCTACCAGTTCCCGCTCGAGGGGTACGACCTGCCGCTGCAAGTCATGGACACGGCGGGGCATGTGAGTGTTGGGGGGGCGGGGTGGATGAGGGGGAGGTGGATGGGGTGGATGAGGGAGGGTGGATGAGGGGAAGTGGATGAGATGAGATGAGGGGAGCGTGGATGAGGATGAGGGTGGATGAGGGGGAGGTGGATGAGGGGAGGGTGGGTGGAACGGTGAGGAAAGGGAAAGGATGAATGAGGTGGATGAGGGAGGGTGGATGGAACGGGTGAGGAGGTTGAGGGAAAGGATGAATGAGGTGGATGAGGGGAGGGTGGATAGAACGGATGAGGAGGTTGAGGGGAAGGATGAGTGAGGTGGATGAGAGGAAGGTGGATGGGGAAAAATGGACGAAGTGGATGACAAAGGAAATGGATCGGTCGGATGGAATGGATGATAAAAGAGGTGGATGAGGGAAAATTAATGAGGAATGAGAGGAATGGGGAGGAGGAGGAGGAGGAAAAGGAGAAAGAAGAGAGGGAGAAGAAAAAGGAGGAGGAGAGGAACGAAGGAGCAGAAGGAGGAGGAGAAGGAACAGAAGAAGAAGGAGGAAGAGGAGACGGTAATGGAAGTGGAGGAGAAGGAAAAAGAGGAGAATAAAGAGAAGGAGAAGGAGGAAAAAAACAAGGAGGAAGAAATAAAAGTAAAAGAAGAAGGGGAAGAGGCCATGGAAGTGGAGGAGGAGGAGAAAGAGACGAAGGTGAAACAGTAGGAAAATTATTTTTTGCTTATTCTTCACTCTATACTGTGTAAATTTAAAACATGTATATTGGCAAAAAAAAATATGATTATATTAATTAGTGGAATCTTCCTGATATCAGAGATAATAAATAAGTAAGCACTCAGGAAAAAATATATATGTAAAAGATAGTATTATTATCATGATTATCAAAGTTTATACCCCAGAGATAATAATGATTTTTTTTTTCTATTTTTTTCTTTTTTGTATATGTTATTACATTAATGAACTTCGATGATCCTTCAAAAGTATTATTTTTTCTAGATTTTTCTCAAATCAACTGAAATCAACTGAATCTTAATCAATTCGTATTTTAAAAAAAAAATAACGTCCTCCTCCTTGTGTATAAAAAAGCGAAATAGAGATTGATTGAGCGTTGCACAGACAACTAATCTTGTGAGAAAAGACCATTTTTTTGTGGGTCTTCGTTCGGTGATTGGTTTAGTAGCCAGCTTGATGAAGACTTAGGAAATAAAATGTTTCGCTCACGTGATGTTCTAAGAAAACAAAAGAAAGGAAAAGAAATGGTGTCCCTTTTTATAGATTTCTATACTGAGCGTATGAGAGGATCGCTGTGTATATCTGCAGATGGACAGGTATTTATTTATCTATTTATTTATTTATTTATCTAATCATTCCTACATTTATTCATTCATGTATGCATTCATTTGCTTATCTATTCATTCACTTATTTTATATTATAACTAATGTACACAGTAAAACATGAATAATAGATGGATAATATATATTCATTCATTCATTCATTCGCCTGCCCACTCATCCCACCCGCACTGCACCCCAGCGTCCCTCCGCTCACTGACAGGCCGGCGCCGCGTCTCGTTGCAGGTGGACGTGGTGGAGGCGGGCCGCGAGGCGCAGGTCTCGTGGGGCGACGGCTTCATGCTCGTGTTCTCCCTGACGTCGCACTCGTCCTTCGCCGCCCTCAGCCGCCTCCGTCGGGTCATCCTCGAGCTGACCCCGGGGGCGCCGCGGCCGATGGTCCTCGTGGGCAACAAGGCCGACCTGAGCCACGCCCGCGAGGTCAACCCGGACGAGATCCGCGACCTGGTCGACTGCTGGGGCTGCGACTACTTCGAGGTGGCGGCGCCGGAGCCGTGGGACGTGGTGGTGCGGCCCTTCACGGCGCTCTACCAGGCCGTGCTCGAGAGCCGGGGGACCTAAGGGGGCGCCGGGAGCCCTCAGGTCCTCGCAAGGGCGCCGGGAGCCCCGAAGACCTCGCAAGGGCGCCGCGGAGCTGGTCGGTAGTTCGGAAGCCACCGCACAAGGTAACTAGACGTCCCTGGCTGACTGTAAGAGAGAAAAGCCTCTCTCGAACTCTCGAAAGGATTTCTTTTGAAAACGATTCGGCGTGGACTCCTGAGTGAGTTTTGGAACATGGACGCGACTCGCTGGCAAGGACGGCGACTGGAAAATACAGGTGAATTTGACGGTGATTTGAAGGAAAGTGACATTGGTGGCTGTGTGACTAAGCTGCAGGTCTCGGTGTTTCATTTGCACACGGAACAGCAAATTCGATTTTATCCATCCAACACATTCGGTGATACAACGCTGATTCAATCTTCTGCATCTATCTGTTCATCCTTCTCTATCTACCTTTCTGTTTATTTGTCTGTCTGTCCTTCTCTCTCTCTCTATCTATCTATCTATCTTCATATATCTATCTATCTTTATCTATCTATCTTTCATCTATCTATCTCTCTGTGTCTATCTATCTATTTATCTATCCACCAATCTATATATCTATCATTATATCTACTTACCTCTATCTTTGGATTTCGACAGATATATATAACACTGTTTTTATCAATATCATTGTTGATATCACTGCAATTTCATAACCCTTATTGTCATCATGTCTTTTCAGTTTAGACTTAAAAATTGAAAAGAGGAATAAAAACAGAAATAAACAATTTACAAGACCAGCCAAGTCGACACAGAAACCGTTAAGAAAACTTTAATTTTTTTAGCTGCATCTCGTATTTCAAGAGCTTTGATGTGATCAATGTTGCAATGCTAAGGATACTGAAATAAAAGCTGATTTATACCCGCAGGTATTCTTATTTCTTTTAATCATTTTTTTTCCTTTACTTAACATGGAAATAGTGTCGTCCTTTTCTTCAATATGAAGACTTCTATATACCTTCAAAGACAAGGTATATAGAAGACAGGTAGATGAACACAGCCTATTCAACACACAAATGAAAGTGACGGAACCTTGTTCATTGCGACAAATGTAGAAGAGGCATGAATGAGAATGAACATATGCACAATACAAGAAATGTATGAATGAATGTATTGTACGAAAAATATGAAGGTGTGAAATGTGAATGGATACAAAATATGATGGTATGAATGTATGAAATGTATATATGAAAAATGAAATGAGAATGAATATTCACAATACAATGTTATGATTGTATGAAATGTATTGAAAAATGTATGAAAATGTGAATGAGAATGTCACAATACAAGAGATGTATGAATGGTGTGAATGTATGAAATGAAAATGTATGAAAAGGTGTGAATGAGAATGAATATCTTCACAATACAAAACATGTATGAAATGTATATATGAAAAATGAATGAGAATGAAGAGATGTATGAATGGTATGAATGTATGGAATGTATGCATGAAAAATGTATGAAAAGGTGTGAATGAGAATGAATATCTTCACAATACAAAACATGTATGGTATGAATGTATGAAATGAATGTATGAAAAGGTATGAATGAGAATGAATATCTTCACAATACAAAAGAGATGAATGTTATGAAATGTATGAAATGCATGTATGAAAAATGTATGAAAAGGTATGAATGAGAATGAATATTTCACAATACAAAGAGATGTATATATGTATGAATGTATGAAATGTATGTACGAAAAATGTATGAAAAATGAATGAGAATGAATATCTTCACAATACAAGAGATGTATGAATGGTATCAAATGCATGTAAAAATGTATGAAAAGGTATGATTAACAATGAATATCTCTACAGCCGGATAATTATAAATCTAACACTGAAGATCATTTTCATTCATACCATTTCTATGAAAGTGACTTTTCCCCTAGAGTTTTCTGACGGTTCTTAATGGCAGGGAAGTTTTCGTTATCATCATTATCATTATCATCGTTATCATTAATAAAAGGGGAATTAAGGTTATTCTTTTGATGATTATAACAATATCAAAAAAATATATATACAAATAATTACGTACCTAGCCATATCTGATACTTTACGGCGCACCCTCATTAGTCCCACCCCCCCCCTCCACCCCCCGCCTTTTGGACCCTGTTAGTCTATGCTATTATTGATCTTTTTAAGCTTATTTCTTCGTAAAGATTCTGAAGTGCCAATGGTAGAAAAAAAAATATTAAAAAGAAGCCAAGAAAAAATCCTGTATTTTTAAGCTTATTTTCTTCGTAAAGATTCTGAAGTGTCAATGGTAGAAAAAATATTAAAGAAAAGAAAGAAAAATATCCTGTAATTATTTCCTAAGAATAAAGGGCGAGAGATGGAGCTCAACCCGGCAGTTGCCAATTAGGATTTTCATCGAATTGAAATGGTGCTACCTGTCTTAATGTACCTTGATTAAAGCAATATGTATGTGATACTTGGTAGCCATGGAGACATAGGAAATTTATATACTTCTTGAGGAATTATATATGTATGTGTGTGTTTATATATATATATATATATATATATATATATATATATATATATATATATATATATATATATATATATTATATTAGAAAAAAAACACAATGCACAAACAGTTTTGTGCATTGTGGGTTTTTTCTACCATAGCATCAACACGGTAAGAGTGTTTTTCCAATATATATATATATATATATATATATATATATATATATATGTATATATATATATATACATATATATATATATATATATATATATATATACATATATATATATATATATATATATATATATATTATATATTATATATAATATATATAAGATAGAGAGAGACAGAGACAGAGAGAGAGAGAGAGAGAGAGAGAGAGAGAGAGAGAGAGAGAGAGAGAATGAGAAAAGCGAGAGAGAGGAACAGATCCGATCAGCTACCGAACCAGGTTACACAATCCACATGTCGTATCTAGCGGTAACAAACAAGTAGGTTATATAAGCTGATTACAGGAAGAGTGAAAAAAGACCAAGACAGAGATCGCAAGAGAGAGAGAGAGACAGAAAGAGAGGGGGAGTGAGGGAGTGAGACTGAAGACAGCCGAGGACAGGAAAAAAGACTCACATGAACACATACACGCGCGCACGTACACACACACACACACACACACACACACACACACACACACACACACACACACACACACACACACACAACACACACACACACACACACAACACACACAACATACACACACACACACACACACAACAAAGCCAAAGACAGGGACTCAGATAAAAAAATAAAAAAATAATAAATAAATAAAAATAAAAAAAATAAAAAAACAATCAAGCAGACATAGACAAAGATACACACAAACATACACACACAGATAAGAGACAAAAAGACACAAAATAAGCATATGCTCAGGTATCCACATGACCCTCACGCCATACAGTATCCACACAATCTGTCACGTCGACCTTAGCCGCGACTCACCTGAATGACCCCGAGCATATCCGGTCATCTTAACCTAGGGTCAAACTAGGTTAGGTTAGATTAGGTTAAGTTAGGCTTGGTTAGGCTAGGTTAGTTAGGCTAGGTTAGGTTAGGCTAGGCTAGGTTAAGTTAGGTAGGTTAAGTTAGGCTAGGTTAGGTTAGGTTAGACTAGGTTAGGCTAGGCTAGGTTAGGAAGGATAGGTTAGGATATTAGGCTAGGCTAGGCCAGGCTAGGTTAGGCTAGGCTAGACTAGGTTAGTCTAGGCTAGGTCAAGGCTAGGCTAGGCTAGGCTAGCTAACTAGGCTAGGCTAGACTAAGCTAGGCAAGGCAAGGCTAGACTAGGCTAGGCTAGGCTAGACTAGGCAAAGGCTAGGTTAGGCCTAGGCCTAAGGCTAGAGTTAGGTTAGGCTAGGCTAGAACTAGGCAAGGCTAGGTTAGGCTAGGCTTGAATGACCCCGAGTATATCCGGTCATCTTAACCTAGGGTCACACTAGGTTAGATTAGGTTAAGTTAGGCTTGGTTAGGTTAGGCTAGGTTAGGTTAGGCTAGGCTAGGTTAGGTTAGGCTAGGCTAAGTTAGCCTAGGCTAGGTAGGGCTAGGTTAGGTTAGGAATAGGTTAGGTTAGGTTAGAGTAGGTTAGGCTAGGCTAGGTTAGGATAGGATAGGTTAGGATAGTAATAAGTTAGGTTAGGCCTAGCTAGGCCAGGCTAGGTAGGCTAGGCTAGACTAGGTAGTCTAGGCTAGGTTAGGCTAGAGTAGGTTTAGGCTAGGACTAGGCAAGGCTAGGTTAGGCTAGGCTAGGCTAGGCTAGGCTAGGCAAGGCTAGGCTAGGCTAAGGCTAGAGTAAGGTTAGGCTAGGCTAGCTAGACTAGGCTAAGGCTAGGCTAGGCTAGGCTAGGCTAGGTAGGCTAGGCTAGGCTAGCTAGAGTAGGTAAGGCCTAGCTAGGCTAGACTAGACTAGGCAAGGCTAGGTTAGGCTAGGATAGGATAGGCTAACTATAGGCTAGGTTAGGCTAGGCTAGGCTAGGCTTAAGAGTAGGTTAGGCTAGGCTAGGCTAGGCTAGACTAGGCAAGGCTAGGTTAGGCTAGGCTAGGCTAGGCTAGAGTAGGTTAGGCCTAGGCTAGGCTAGGCTAGACTAGGCAAGGCTAGGTTAGGCTAGGCTAGGCTAGGCTAGAGTAGGTTAGGCTAGGCTAGGCTAGGCTAGCTAGGCTAGGCTAGACTAGGCAAGGCTAGGTTAGGCTAGGCTAGGCTAGACTAGGCAAGGCTAGGCTAGGCTAGAGTAGGTTAGGTTAGGCTAGGCTAGGCCTAGGCTAGGCTAGGCTAGGCTAGGCTAGACTAGGCAAGGCTAGGTTAGGCTAGGCTAGGCTAGACTAGGCAAGGCTAGGTTAGGCTAGGCTAGACTAGGCAAGGCTAGGTTAGGCTAGGCTAGGCTAGGTTAGGTTAGGTTAGGCTAGGCTAGGCTAGATTAGACTAGGCAAGGCTAGGTTAGGCTAGGCTAGACTAGGCAAGGCTAGGTTAGGCTAGGCTAGGCTAGGCTAGAGTAGGTTAGGCTAGGCTAGGCTAGGCTAGACTAGGCAAGGCTAGGTTAGGCTAGGCTAGGCTAGGCTAGAGTAGGTTAGGCTAGGCTAGGCTAGGCTAGGCTAGACTAGGCAAGGCTAGGTTAGGCTAGGCTAGGCTAGCTAGGCAGGCTAGGAGGTAGGCTAGGCTAGGCTAGGGTAGGCTAGGCTAGGCTAGGCTAGGCTAGACTAGGCAAGGCTAGTTTAGGCTAGCTAAGGCTAGACTAGGCAAGGTAGGTAAGGCTAGGCTAGGCTAGGCCTAAGAGTAGGTTAGGCTAGGATAGGCCTAGGCTAGGCTAGGCTAGGCTAGCTAGGCCTAGACTAGGCAAGGCTAGGTTAGGCTAGGCTAGGCTAGACTAGGCAAGGCTAGGTTAGGCTAGGCTAGGCTAGACTAGGCAAGGCTAGTTAGGCTAGGCTAGGCTAGGCTAGAGTAGGTAGGCTAGGATAGGATAGGCTAGGCTAGGCTAGGCTAGGTCCTG